GGTGACTCTGTAGGTGACTTGATTCTGGTTAACATGGATCGATTTATTAGCTAAGATCTTCTGCAACATACACATTATTTTTGACATTTGCTTGAGGAAGGCTTTCCCATCAGTAGCTATTTAAAAATAGCACATTATTTGGGGAAAACTCAGGTGTTAACTGGGATTTTGTTTTAGTCAACAAGGTGCAGAGCTGGATGAACACAGCAGGCCAAGCAGCATCATAGGAGCAGAAAGGCTGACGTTTCGGGCCTAGACATTGTCACTTCTTTGTTAATTATTATTTAAATGAAAAGCTGATCAGTTCTGAATGTAGAGAATAATATGAATTTTACATTGCTGGATGGTGATTGTTTTGCTGCAGTGATACTTACTGTTAACCGATCTAAAATTGCTCAATTTACTCGCTTCCTTTTCTGTTTTGCAATTGTGTTTAAATATCAGTGTTTGACATGGGCATTTTGCCAACCATTTTTCTCATTTACCAGCTGTATGGACACAAGTAATCAGTGTGGGTAGGTGTTTTCAATTTAATTATCTTCACAAACCTTCTGACTGCATCAAGAATATACTGTCTTTAGTCATGTTTTCCGAATGAGGTACTCTTACTTTTAAAAAAAGAAATTGGCCATCAGCTAGTTTAATTCACTACCACAGGAAACTCTACTGTAGACGTTGAGATTCTGTTGTTACAACTCCTGCCAGCTTCAACTGATCCAGTCTCCATGGACGGTAGTGAGAGAGATGTTAACAATGTCTGTTTTGCTGCTACCTGAAGGGAATAACTGTTTGCACAAACAGAAAGCAAAGCTCATTTTAATACTTCTTGAAACTTGTCAGCCCAAATTTGGGTGATATCCAAGTTCTATTGGTCTACAGGCCACTTCATTATTAGAGGAATGATGATCCTTTGTGGCCGACTTGCCTTTAATCACTGGAGGGTTTTCCACTTCTCTCTCAGACCTCAGAGAACTCGATACCACACTCAGTCAAGTACTGCCTAGTGTCAAGGGCAGTTACTTCAACCCTACATATCAGATGTTGTCAAGGCTCATCATTATTGTCGTGCCCAAACGTGCAGCTGCTTTAGAATGCTTCATGAAAATAATCAAATTGGCTATGCACTGGTATTTTTATTAGTAGGAGCCTTAAGAAGATACAGGGTAAGATTGTGTACTGTCACTTCTGGCTGAAGATGCATGTAACTGCTTCAGCCCTTCGTCTTGTATTAACATGCTGGACTTCATGTGATTGAGAAGGGGGATTACTGTGAAGCTTTATTCTTCTTGTAGTTTTCTCAATTTCTGTAAATGACACTCTTAAATTCTGTTCAATAATGCTCCCTTGAAGCACCCCAAACTATTTTACTGCACGCAAGGTGCTTTATAAATGAAGCTTGTTGTTGAATAGGGGATGTGCTAGGCTTTAAGATTGAAGATTGTGAAAGTGTATGTTGCTGATGACACGTGGAAATAATTAATGCTCAGCTTTTGCCCTTTAGTACAGATAGCTTGGATTGTCAAGATGTTGACTCATCTCCAAAGAAAGACAGCCCATGTAAAGTCTGATACTAAACTTGAAAGAAAATTGCCCAAACAGCAATAACCAAAAACTGAAATGTGGCCTTCAGCTACTTAAATCAGTCAGATGATTTGACAGCATTTGAGCCTGTGGAATTGAAATGAAAAAGCATTTCCCATGGTGCTCAGCTGTCTGATTTGAAAAAGAAATATTGCCCTGCTAACTGGTCCTCTTTAGCTGTGTTTAACATTCATGTAAATCTTTCAATGACCTGTGTGATGTGGCACTGTATTTAGGAGGAATTATTTTTGGTTTGAAATAAGTTCAAAAACTGATGTAGTCCATCTATATTGTTTCACTTATTCATTCATGAGATGTGGATGTTGCTGTTTAGGCCAGTATAATTGGCCTGTTGGAGGTGGTGGTGAGCTGCAGCAATCCATGTGGTGTAAATGCACCCACAGTGCTCCTGGGAGTCCTAGGATTTTGTCCCAGCACCAGTGAAACACTGACAATATGCTTCCAAATCAAGCATTGGGGGGATCTT